CTTTACGAAGCGAAGAAGCGAACAGATGATCAATGAACATGGTATACATGCACTTCTCCAATGGGTTTCTACCTCATTTCCCATTTCTTGGTTGGTGGTGGTGGTGGTGGTGGTGGCGACCTGAGCCTACCTTATGAAGGCCACCTGGATTTATGAATGAATATGAGGCTTGTCCATCTGATCCACCTTGTCTGGTCTTATCAATCGCCATCAGTCTGAATCTCGTCGTCGAGGTCGTCCAAATAATCTTGTGAGATGATGTGAGTATTGAACCCAGAGACTGGCTCCTTCCTTGGTTCCTTCCTGGGCCACTGGCGCCTTCCTCACCTCCTCGCTCCAGGTCCTACCTCATTTCTGAGGCTCTCACCTTCCCAAAATTACAGCATTCGGATTAATTGTCAGGCAGATCGGAAGAACGCGCACTCGTGACTGCTTCGCTCGGCTCCACTCCGTTCCTGGCCACTCTGGCTTGATACTTCTTTCTCTGAGCTGACCTCTCGATCTTCCATCCTTCCTTGTTTCCCTCACACCATCTCACTTCGTCGTCAGGAGGCCTAGCCTCTCAAGGCATTATTTTATCACCAAAAATCAAACTTCAATCACCAACTATGGAATATTCTCTTTCGATACATCGAAGTCATTGACACGTCTTGGATCGTCATTCGAAGCAACTCAACACAGTTTATATCCAACACAGCAACATTGATCTTTCCGCCTGTTGAGTAGGACCGTCAATCCTGGGCACCAGTCATCCAGCATATCTCGAACTTTTCCCTTTCCCACCTATCGTGCGTAGCAGATAGGCTCTATGCCACGCGACGCGCTCTTCCGCCGTGGACAGAGGGGCTGGGCAACCTGACACGAGTGAGACCTCTTACCTACGAAACTACCTACGGAACTACCTACCTAATGTGAGTACGATTGGATCTTTCTCTTCAATGACAAGCGATACTCATCATCTGCCACAGTACCTTCCCTTAGAATCCTTACCACGGAAACTCAGCTGGACTCTGAGTTTCTTGCTCTTTCACAAGTCTGCTGTCCAGATGTCTATGTACCATGGGGTTCCTGCCTGTGCCTGCTGTTCTGGCAGAGTACATGAGTACGTCCCTGATCACACCATCCATTCGGTGAGGAACCAACCGCGGTAGCTGCCTTTTTCTTTCCCATTCTGACTTCAAGCAGTCGCCAGAGGGCAAGCAGATGACCTTCTTTCCGCTCGCCACCTCATCCCACGTCTTCTATGGACTTCTCTCGCTTCTTTTCCCGCGTTTTTCCCTCAGCCGGAAATGCTCTTTCGCTTCTCTTCCCAATTCTTCTCCGGACGAAGATCATCTTTCGTGCCTCCTCCCACCTCTTCTCTGGACGAAGGTATTCTCCTGCTTCTCAGTCCCCAACATCGCCCCACGGATTCCCACGGCGTCTCCTGACAAAGATGGCTCCTATCAAACGCAAGTCTCTTAACATCTGCTACTCTCCTGTCCGTAACTGACTCCACATCAGAGGATGTTGCTCCGAGAAGCATCAAGAACAGTATTGATGTCCGACCTGCCAAACCACATGTCAAGCGACTTCATCGAAAAGGACCTCTTCTCGGCTCTTGGTCTCGTCCGATTATTCTGGATGACGTCTCCAATTAGATGGATCCAAACACAGTCCAGCTGTCATCGAAGCCGATTCTGAACTTGGTGGTTCTATCTGCAAGCCCATTGAACTTGAGGACGATCCTGGTGACGAAGGATCCAGATCCAATCCCATTGTGATCTTGGATTATCCTGCCCATGAACCGGACCAAGATAGCTTCACCGCAGCAGAGTGATGAGTACTTTCCCGTTGTCCTGCCGCTAGATTGTTAGCAAGGTAAGCATCACCCACTCAATCCCGGCATCTCATCTCTTTTGTCATCATAATTGCTCATATATATCACACCAGACTGTCAACTAAGGACGAATCCGTCAGCTTATTCAAAGTCATTCATCCGTCCCCCTTTGGCATGGGATCGAAACCATCCGCACCTGATCTGGACGGATTCCCGCGCCACGATATGGACTGGGAGAGAACACAAGGGATCTTGCAGGTACACTCAAGTTTTAGCATTATTATATAGTTTACGAAGCAATGAAATGAGGTGTTGAGGTTTCAAAATTCCAGAAAATCGTTCCAGGGAACACCCATTCCGTGATTTCGACTGCAAGCAAGCAAGACACGTCACACATGTTCATACACCAGCTGCCCTCTGAGTCAAGCATATAGTGAGGCAAATCTCGTTCTATTCATATCAGTTTTGCAATGATTAGATGACCGAGAAATCTCAGTGTAAACAGCAAAAAGCCGTCCGATTGAAAATTGTTCACTGCCGATCATATGTCGTGGTTTCTCTTCTTCCTGAAGGCATATTTTGCTCTTTGGTGTATGGGACAAGAAAGGTTCTACTGGTGGTGAAATGTGCTTTTCCATGGGATGGAATGGTATGCCTTACGCTGGACGATCTGAACGAGATAGAAATCGCCAAAGAAGTTGAGAATTAGTCATGGTGTGATGATGTGGTGGGTTTCAACATGCCAAGTGCGGCTTGAAGAGAAGAGAAAAGGCCATATGTATCGCAAGTTACAAGCTTTCGAGGTTGGGTTGCGATCTTCCGTGCTTGACCTGGATCAAGGCTCATCGTCGAATCGATAGCCATCTGCTTCTCATCCAACCATTCTTTCCCATTTCAAGTCCAGTCCCAGACGATGACCTGATCTCCCTCAGCATCCGTCGTGAAGTTCCCGTAGAACCCGTCGACATTGACGCCATCAAGCCCCGGGAATTTTATGCCGATCAACCTTTACCAGCCTTTTCCGTTGCCTCAAGGTCGCCAGCCATGTCACTGCGCCAATACTCGGCACCGTCTTCGCCCATGTATGCGCTTCCACACATCGATCCCCCGTCGTAGCCGAGTTTCAGTTGTGAGGACCGCGGGAGGTAGAGCTGCCTGAGGTTGGGAAGACGAGAGAGGGATTTTATAAGATCCTGGGTACGCAATATGAGATCTACTTAGCATCGCATGGGAGCATCAACCGTCGGGGGGGTAATGGCTGAACAAGGAAGAAGAGAAGTTTACTTACCCGCAGCATGTTCCCCCGGATCATGGATCTATATCTGAGGTCTCAGGCTGGATCGCCTACATGGAGCTCCTCAATGTGCGGGGCATCTTGGACTACGCCTTATGAGTTTGTGGATTAGCTTGAACGAAATTGATATGGAAGCTCCGCGCTCCAAATACTCACGATCAGTCATTGTGTCCGTCCACTCGACTTCTCCCATATCAAGCCTCCTCAGGCCTTTAAGTCTCCCCGCGGACGCGAACCAAGCCACATCTCTCTTGTACGCAGCCTCTCCCCAGACGAAATCATCGCGTTTCACTTCGAGAGAGGTCAGTGAAGAGCAAGCATCAATGAGCTACGGCGCATTCATGGTCGTCGCCAACTGCTTGACACCACGCAACGTCGTCCCGTCCTCGATAAATGCCTTTCCGATGGCCGCATTCTCGTCGGCGCCCCGAATCATCCATTCGATCTTGCTCAAATTCTTCATCTTCCCCATAACCTCGGAAAAACAGCGCCGGTAGTGACTTTGGGGGAAGCGTCGATTCAGCGGTGAGGGTGTCCCAGGTATCGCTCAGGGTCTGCCACCCCATTCCGGTATGAACCCATACGTTTACCGGTCAGCTCGCGAACTTCAGCGAGTGCTCTTGGGCACACTTTCATTTCATTGAGTCTGTCGCGAGCATTCTTCCAGCCGTAGCGGCTCACGCCGGCGCGAGCATTGTTGATTTCGAGCCGGTGGAACAGATCTGCCGGTACCTTGAGGTCCCCCGCGCAACTTCGCGCTCTCTTCATCGACGGCAACGCTGCCGCCGTCCTGCGAATGGGCGTCGTCGGCGGGGAGCGTGCAAATAAACAACGTCGCATCCGGCAGACTGGAGAGCTCCCGGACGCGGGCGGTGAGCCACGGATGACCCGTGTCGAGAAGAAATTGAGGGACGCGCGGGGGTCACATTGCTGCTGCCTAGTCATGAGGAGATGAATGGGACCTGGAAAGCCGTGAGCTTCCGGGCTGACGCGAGGCTTTGGAAGAAGAATGCAAAGACAAAGAGGAGGGAAGTTGTAGACAGTACTTTCATGATGTTTTGTTGACCGCTTCGGAGTCGTTTGAGGTATGTGGTGATGATTCGCTCGTTGACAGCCCGGTTGCTCAAAAGCCCTGGTTTTCGAGTATGGAAACACGGTGTCTAACATGATCTAGATGAGCTCAAAGCCGATACGTACAGCCATGGGAATCAGGTAGGCAACGAGTACTGTTGGTCGCATCATAGAGGTACCACATTAGCCATGCCAAGCAAGACGTAGACACGACCAACAGTTCCAAATTGGGACACATGGCCTTTTCACTCGTGATTCAAAAACAATAAGACTCATCACAAGCAGTTCCGAGAAGCGTGGAATAGAAAAGCACAAATTATTGCATTGGATATCTCAAACACAATCCGGGTATTGAGGAGGCCGCCTTGCTTCATTGAGCGCCCCGGCTCATTACATTCCCTCCCAGATCAGAGTTCTAACAGTCGCAATCACCGCATTCCACCCCCCCCCCCCCAAGTCGCATGGAGCCACGCCGAGCTTCTCGTCGTACCTGGATGATGGCTCGTCGCCATCAAAGCCGCGTCGTTAAGGAGTGTAAGGGTATCATAACCAGAAAAAAAAAAAAAAACCAGTTTCCCCTATTAAATATGCAGAATTACCCCCCAAAAAAGTAATGCCCGTCAAATGATGCCAATGACTCATTATTCTTAAGGAGTGTCGTGAAGTCGTTGCAAAGAAGCCAAATCATAAGTCTCTTCCTCATAAAACGCCAAAATATGATGTTGGTCCAAGACCTTGGGAAGGAATGTGCAGAATAGGATGATGAACTTTTGCCGCCAATTGTATAAATCCACGAAGAAGAATCTTATATAACGCTCAGAAGGATCGAATGCGAATTAGAGGAGTAGAAGAACCATAAGCGGCGCCAGTATGGCGAGGATAATCGAGGTGGCGGGCTTGACTGCTGCGGCTGTGACGGGACCTGTCGTAGTGGTGCTTGGAGAAGTCACAGTCGAGGATGGCGCCGAGGTTTCGGATGTAGAGCCTCCAGTCCCGCCACTTGCTGTGGATGCTGACCCGGCCGAGGTGGTTGGACCGGCAGACCTGGATTCTGAAGGGCTTGATGCCGACGGAATCGAACCGGCACCGCTTGTCGCTGTTCCCGATGGTGATGATGATGCCGAAGATGAAGTTGCCATGGAGAGTGATGACGCGGTTGCTGAAGCACTTGATTGACTTGAAGCGCTTGACCCGCTACCGGAATTGGAAGCACTTGGAGAACCCGAAGAGACGCTTCCAGTCGGAGTGGGAGTTCCAGCAGAAGTTGAACCTGCCGAAATGGCAGCAGATGTCACTGTTGAAGGATTGGAAGTCACTGCGGTGGTTCCGGAGCTAATGGTCGCCGCGGAGGTCGTGTCAGATAGCGTTGAAGAGACCGAAGGGCTAGAGCTGGATGACGACTGGGAGCTGGATGCCGTGCTCGCGGTGGAGGGTGTGGAAGACGCTGCCACGCTCGTGCTAGGAGACGGCGTGGGAGTCGGAGTGGATGTAACGGTGGTAGACACCTCAGCAGTGGTGGTTGTGGTTGACCCCGGAATAGGGACGGCCGAAGTATCACTAGAACCAGCCCCCTGGCTTGCTGTCGTGAGTGTAGCCGTGCCGCTTGCCTGACTCTGGGGTGGCAGGATAGTTGCGGAAGACGAAGTCTGCGGTGCCTCGCCGGTGCAGTATACTAGCCACTGCTGGAATTGTGGTTCGATGTAAAGGCGGAGGGTCTCCTTCCCGTCATCGGCGTTGTCTATCACGCATTGTCTGCAAGTCTCGAGGTTCATTTGGAAGGCGGAGCCCGCTAAGCAAATCTGAGGGTTTTTGCCCACCGTTTGGACCTCGATATAAACATTGTTACAATTGTCGAAGCAGATGGCAGGAGCGATCGTGACATCTCGCTTGCCAATGAAAGCACGACGCTCGTAGGTCTTGCCCTCCTGCTTATGCTTGTAGGCGTGTTTGCCAATCTCAGCGGAGGATGTAGGAGCAGGGGAAGATGTGGTTGTGGGCTGAGCAGTCGGAGGGAAATGAGTCAACTCCGTGGCTGAAGCCCAGTTGCCAGTCGTGATGGTCGTCTTCTTGTGTCCCTTTTTACCCTTCACCTTGGAAACGATTACCTCGTACTCAAAGATGTCAAAGGGAAGGCCAAAGGCATTGGGGTTCAGGTTGAAGTATCCCTCGTTCACTGGGTAGTAGCTTGTCTCGTTCTCCTTCCAATTTGCTAGAGTGACAGGCGGTGCTGGAATACAGTTCTGCGGAGCGCAGACATAATCGTCTGCTGGCGGATCTGCCCACAGGTTACAACCGGCAGGCTTGGGAGGGTTGCAGACATATCCGGGCTGACAGCCCCATGTGAGGTTTGACTTTGGGTTATATTCGACCGCAGAGTTCAATCCGGGAGTGTTCGTTGGGGCAGGGCAAGCTGTAATCTCTGTGACCGTCGAAGGTGGCAAGGTAACGGTGACGGGGGGCAACGTCAAGGTCGAAATGACGAAAGACGTTGGCCCTGGCGCGATGCTGGTTATTGTCGAACCGTCTCGAGTGATGGTCAATGTCGATGCAGGCGCAGTTTCGACGACCGTAGTCACAATTGTTGAACCAGGCAAAGTCGTCACAGAGGGGGGCAGAGTGATCGTGTTCACTTGAGTGGTGACCAGAGTCAATGTGGTTCCGGGTAAGGTTATTGTCGTTAGCTCGCCTGCAATTGTCGAAACCACAGTCGATCCGGGAAGAGTGATGGTTGCAGGGGGAGGTGTGACGGTGATGACATCCGTGACTCCCGGCAGAGTAATTGTAGATGCTGGCAAGGTAAGAGTCGTGATTTCACCGGCAATCGTAGTGATGATCGTTTCGGGCGGCAGGGTAATTGTCTCTCCGGGACGCGTTACCGTCTCTCCGGGCCCCGTGATAGTGGCGGTCACAGGAACTGTGATGGTTGAAGCGGGCAAGGTGATAGTTGTGATTTCGCCGGCAATCGTAGTGATGACCGTCTCGGGCGGCAGGGTAACCGTCTCTCCGGGTCCTGTAATAGTGGCGGTTACGGGAATTGTGATGGTAGAAGCAGGCAAGGTGATCGTAACGGCCTCCCCAGAAATCGTTGTCGTAGTTGTGACTGGCGGAAGGGTGACGGTTGAAGCAGGCTGAGTGATCGTCTCACCAGGACGCGTTATCGTCTCTCCAGGCCCGGTGATAGTGGCGGTTACGGGAATTGTGATGGTAGAAGCAGGCAAGGTAATTGTAACGGCCTCCCCAGAAATCGTTGTCGTAGTTGTGACTGGTGGAAGGGTCACTGTTGAAGCAGGCTGAGTGACCGTCTGCGGAGGTGAGGTCTGCGTGACCGTTCGAGTGACTGGATAGGAAGAAACTATCGTTCTCACAGAGGTCTCCACAACAGTCGAGTAAAACGTCTCTCGAATCGTCCTATCATTAGTGACTGTTACGGGAATAGTCACTGGATAACTCGTCGAAAGAGTGAGAGTTTCGAAGAGAGTCGTTGAGACGAAGACCGTTGTCAGAGACGTCAAATATTCTGTCTCTTTATTCGTGACGGTCGCGGTCCTTGTTGCCGTTGCCGTTGCTGTTTGGACTTCCGTGTAAGACGCAGTTATAGTTACTGGCGAAGTGTAGGTGACGAGACTAGTGAAAGTTGAAACAGAGTACGAAGTCTTGGTGATTGTGTGATCAGAGGTAATAGTGTACGGGATGCTTGTCGTATAGACAAGGGTCGAGATGATTGTGGTCGTTGATATCTGAGTGGCCGTCCGAGTCACAGGCTGAGTGATTGTTGCGGTTCGCTCTCTGGTCTCAAAGATCGTTGTTGGCGGCTGAGTCTCTGTAATGGTGTCCGTGATATAGTAGGTCTTCAACGTGGTGTAGGTGGTGGTCACGTATTGAGTCTTGCTTGAGATCACTGTCGTGGGAATGATCTCCGTCGAAACAACAGTGGAGATCAAAGTCGAGACGGAAGTATGGATCCGAGTAGCAGTGACCTCTCGCGTCTGCGTGACCTGTTGCGTCTCGATGGAGGGAGGAAGACGAATCGTCTCCTTCTGCGTCTCGATGGAGATGGACGGAGGGAGTTGGACTGTCTGCTTCTGCGTCTGTACGATTGTGGTGGGAACTGGGACGAGCTCTGTAACCTTTGTCGTGCTCGTCTTCCAAATCGTGGTCGTGGTCGTCCGGCAGACTTGCTGAGGAGTTCGCTTCCTGCCATAGCCGCCTCCATACGTTGGCACGGCGGAGGTGGTAGGGCCAGGGGCATCTATAGGGTCGCAACTGAGGCGAGTTAGCTCGTGGAATCCCAGGCTCTACCGCACCATGCGATAGACGGAGAAAGAAATCAAGTTAGGGTTCGGAAACGCAGAATCGCTTGCCACGGACCCGCGATCCGTTTGTCGTATACATTTCATCTCTTCGCCCTCTCCTCTCTTCTCTTCAACTAAACGCCTTTCTCGGATGGAGAAGGCGGCGACCGCCTTGGGTTCATTGAAGAGGAAATAGAAGAGAATAAGGAGCCGAAATGGCTTGGTGTGTTGAAGGTGTTCGGCATATTGACGGATCTGACTTATTCAAGGCAAGAATGTTCACAGGGAGTTTCCTATACTTACAGAGCCACCGTGGTAGTCACAGGGTAGGAGGAAACCTTCACAATTGTCTTGGTCTCGTAGTCTGTTGTAGTGAAGGCTTGCGTGGTGTACACGGTCTCTTTGGAGACGATCGTGAGACTGGTTGGAGTCAGTTGGGACCCAAAGATATCATTCTCGAAATTCCTTGAGGAGGGAACTCACGTGGAAACAACCGGCTTCTCAACGGTCAATGTCGAGACCTGCTTTTCGGTGACGGTAGAGACCTGCTTCTCGGTGACAGTCGAAATCTGCTTCTCTGTGACAGTCACAGTCTTTCCCCAGGGGCACTTCGAGGCCCAGTGGCTGCAGTCATCGGTATCGGTGCCATAGTCTGGCGTCTGCTTGTCGGCGCTGGTGGTTGTGGGAGCGGGCTGGGCTTCAGCGGAAGAAGCCGGTTCTGCAGCGGGCTCCTTGGTAGCTGAGGCCGAGGGAGTCGCTGCCGGTCCCGACGAGGGCTGAGGTTCAGGCGAGGGAGATGGCGAAGGTGAAGGCTCAGGTGAAGCCGAAGAAGAGGCTTCTGGCAGAGGGGCAACTGAGTATGCGCCGGACGGCTCAGCATAGGAATCATTCTGTCTCGCAAACACTGCTCCGCCGTCCTGTGCCGTGACACTAGCGGCCAAGGCCCCCAAGGCCACGAGTGATGTCCAACGCATTGCCGTGAGCTTCTGACGAACGAGAGACTATGGTATCCCAAGTGCCCAGTATCAATGCAGCATGCGAGCTGATCGCGTTGCGACAATGGACTAACGAGTGTGGGAGAGCCGCAAGTCGAAGCTGAACACACATGAACGAGTGCCAGTTGGGAATTGGGGGCAGAACAGGCTCAGAGAAGCTGAGGATGGTACCTGGGGGCTCATATGTATGTACAATGGGGAGATGGGAGGCTGAAGAGCTGAGTTGGCAAGGCAGCCTTACCTGAGCTCAGGATCAAGGTGAGGAGGGCTCCCGTCAACAGCAGGATGAGGTTCCCCGCAAGCTCTAGCCAGAGAAAGCAGTCCGTACCTCGTAAGCTACGTAGCGCAGTGTCCGTTCCGCGGGACCTCCGTCCGAGATGGTGTCGACAAAGGTGGGTGATCTATAGGCTGGGCATCTCGCCAGCTCAACTCTCGGGGCAAGGAGGGAGGGTGTTGGCTAAGTAAACAGCACAATGGAGAGGCAGGGAATCAGGATGACGAAGGAACCCGGCGACATGGGGAGCTAAGCTCTAGGCCCCGTCGCCTCTCGTGAGTCGATGTGCCACATACTGGAGGGGCGTGCCTCGGACGGCAGTCGGAGTGAATGGGGACTATATTCTCTGCCATGAGGCTTCGCTTGACGGCCATTGGCAAATGCAAGATCGGGACGAGGGCAATGGAGCACAAAAGGCGAGAGAGCCGATGGAAGTGGACACTAGAGGAGGGGCGTGACGGTCCACTAGGATCCTAGTCCTGCCTGCAGAGATGACGGCAGGGATATTGGCCGTGGTTGGCAAGCTGTTTCCTCGAAAGGCAGGCGCAGGCCATATGGACGGTCAAAGAGGTCGCTACAACAACGGCAAACATTTCCGGCTCCAAGAAGACTGGCAAGTGAGTGACATGATCGTTTGCCGCTCAGTAGGTACACTACCTAGCTCATTTTCTACTATTCGTATTCTTATTCTCTTTTTAGAAAGTGTTCTCGAATAAATATATAGAGGATGAAAGTGATGATAGTAATAGTAAAGAGTAAAAGAACAAGAAAGATGGGAATAACAAATAGGTAAGGAACTATTTTACTCTTTTGTTGACCAGCATCCTATTTTGTCACCTGCTTGATTGGCACCAAGCGAGAGCGAGATGTGATTCTCGTAACTTGGCTGCTTGGGTACGCGTTCCGGGAGGAATTGGGCATGCAGCTCACAGAAAGACTTCCCTGTACGTGTGCCAAGTACAAGATACGCGACACAAAGTCATTGAGAGAATCTTGCGGCAGCATCACTGGATGCCACTTTCGGGAAGATATGGCCTGACAGTGTAAGCCCATTTTACGTTGGCGTGGTGGGGAAAACAGACATGACCGCAGGTCAGAGAACAGCCTGAACAAAAAGACAGAAATGCCGAGACTCTGACTCGAAGAGTGAGGTAGGGTAAGACAGATGGATCTCAGAGGAAGTTGCGCACACTTCGCCGGACTTCGTGCCATCTGCGCCTGAGCCACATGGGGTGAGGTCGGGCGGCCGTGGAGCGGCATCGGCCGGCCGTTTCTGTCGTTCTTGGGTTGGAAGGGGGCGGGTGGCATTGGCAAGGGCCAAGACCGATGCACGTACAAGGGACTTTTGCTTGGTTGGAGGTCCTGAGAGGCTGGCCTCTGGCCCTCTTGCACAAGATTTGACCGTCAAGCTGCACGCCAGGGTCGAAGACTTGAAGCTGTGTGCAATATTGCCTCGTCGGATGGGCCTAGGTCTTGAGCATCACCAAGTGGTGGGGACGAGAGGTAACGTAACGGGCAGATTTCCGTTAGTTTAAAGCCCAGCATACCAAGTAAGCATGGCCGGGAAGCGGGAGGGTGGCAGGCATGCGGGATGCGAAGCGCCTGCAACTGTCGAGGTCCGGCATGGGGGGAAGAAGATTGAAGATCATCGACCCAGATATGCAGACGATATTGCCTTCAGATAGCCAGCACGCCAGGTACGACGAAAATCCAGTTGGTCGAGTGACAGCTTGTGGCAAAAGATATAAACATGAACCGGAAACCCGATCAATGTGCGACTGACGAGAAGCTGGGAAGCAACTTCCGCCTGCCCCTTGCGGATACTCGGTCGCCAATGCTAGAGCAACGATCTTGCCTTTTTGTTTCTGGGATAGTGATTGCCCGGTCGATTGCAGCGGGTGAGACCGAAAAGAAGCCCGGGTAGCACAGCAGGTGCCACTGGTGAACCTTGCAGCAACGATTCAAGAGTGCCAATGGATGACGATCTTGTCTGGACTTGATGTGTCTAGAGCCGTCTGATGATTGATTCGATGGCTGGTTTCACGGTACTACCTTGGAGGTACGCCTGAATCAAGGATAAGCCATGAGCATGAGATACTTCTTATCCTCGTAGAACTGATTCCAACTCTATGGTCGTATTGCCGACGAGCAGAAAGTCGCGAATGAAAACTGGTCAGCACGAGCAGCCTCTCGTGGTGAGATATCTCAGTGTCATTGAAGGATTGGGACTTGGTTCCGGCAGGGACCTGATCCTTGGCGGGCCTTTCATCGCGGCAGATCTGATTGCTGGTGCTAAAGAGCAGATGTCTCTGCTCGCCACCGCCAACATTGTGCAATCCTTGTGTCGTCGTAAGTCATCTGAGTGGCTAGACCGAGAAATACTGAAGCCTGGTGAGAAAGTGTGAGTGAGCATGAGAGGAGGTCCGGAGGTGTCAGCACAGAAGGATGAGATGACCAGGAACAAGGGGGATGAGCGAGTGAATGAGTGATTGAGTGAGTGACAATAGAGATGAACTAAGGCGGAAGGAGGTTAGCTCAGGAACAGGGGAAACGTGCTCCCGCCCTATGGGAGGAACTGTTCATGGGAGCCATCCCATTTAAGGTGTAAGCTGATGACCTAATCCTAGAGAGGGAAAGAGGGGTAAAATGGGCAAAAGTGGATCTCTGCCGTCTGTGCTTATCCACACCTCCAGCCTTCCCAAAGTGGAAGCTGTGATTGGTCTAGATATACATTACCTCATCAAGGCTAAACCATATTGACTTAGCCTCCACTCCACCTTCCTTCGACGCCGTTTGGCACTTTATTTCGTTTCCACCTTTCTTTCTTCACCTCCCCGTCCGTACACCAACAATGTTTCCATCCAACGGTCAAGTCGGTAACGTCTATGTTTCTAGGCTACAAGTCCATCTCTAATAAGCTCCCTTGATGCAAAACATCGGCAGGAGCTTTCTCATGCTCTACTGTCGCCATCTTGCATCTTGCAATGAGGAACCTCATCAGGCTTTATACCATCCGATGATGGGTCGTTGTTTGCCCTCAGAGGCTCAGACACCATCCTTTTCACCGACAGTCGATATTACAAGGATCAGTCTTACTTGGTCAATCCCACAGGGCTGACACCGTCATCTTTTCTCTCTTTACAATGAGCCGTCCCCTTCATCCGTGCCTGGTCTGGGAGGCTGGAGATGCGAACGAAACAGCTCATCCGAACGCCCATGTCCCCGATCCTGGCCCGCTCCCGCATTCAACTGCGCTGGTCCCATCCAGACCTCGCAGGTTCAACTTGGCGACCCGTCTATTGACTGACTTGCAGATGCTCAACCCCTGCAATAACCACTGCCACCACACCATTTCCTATGCAAGCTGATGCCGGGACCGCTGTACCCAACGTTGTGATCAGAGGCACAGACAGCACGTTTCTGCGTCCAACATGCTTTTAGAATTTTTCTCCCGCTTACGCACCTACTCACAGCTTCCCTTCTCGAATCATGTCACCTCCGTCAATGTGGCGTCCCGCTGGAACCGCAAGTTTATCCGGATTATCAACAAGTCACCTTGCTGCCTCGGCTTACTTACCACTACGAGTAAAGACACGGGCTTTTGCTGACAATAAGGTTCAGCAAGCTTTGCAACAATTCTGAGCAAACATCACAGGGGCAATTCGGGAGCCAGGCTTCTCTCCTTGCGGGGTGTCTTTGTTATCTTGTCCAGCTCACAACACATTGTTTGGCTTGTCTTTGTTATCCGAGTCTGGTCTTGGAAGGCTTATGGTGCTGGACGGTGTGTGCGCCGTATGCCAAGAACACCGTATTGCTTGCCTACATGGTGGCTCCGTTACTGCTATGTTCAAAGTCGTAGCCTGCTTGCAACACACCTTTAGTTTCTGTGGATGTGCAGTTTGTCTTCGCCCCAAATATTGATACGAGGTTTGGACTTTCGGAGCAACATCTTTGACAATCAGAGGTTGCGCCGGTGAGACAAGTGTCTTCTCTGATCACCTAGTTTTCTCCTGTGGTTCGTTGGCATATATTCTGGGCTGAATCTAGCTAGGAATTATAACGACGCTCTGAGTGGGTGACGAGGCTGAGCACTTTTCAGTCAGATGCACAACTCTCTACCGTAGACGACGACATCCAATGCCCCTCTCTGTCCACCAATCATTTCGTCACATACCTCCCGTCCTCTTATGAATCGGTACAAGCTTCCCATCTGTGCAAGTGTTCTTCCAAAGGACCGCCGGGCCCGGTCTAGAGTAGTGTCCGATGAGTTGCATACACCCATCTCTCCATCTTCTACCCTCCATCTCAGGCATGCCTCCAGCCATGCTAGTCCAGCGACCCAGCCTTACATAGTTCTAGTGAGCACTCAGGCGAGATCTTCCAGTGGCAACCATCTTATCAGTTTTCCTGCAGACTTGTTGGCCCTGTCCGTCCTGTCCCGTACAGTTCTCATTGCCACCGTACCGGTCCATCTTTCTGAGCACACGGAGTTAGCGACACTGCGGGGTCGATCGAAGTGTGTGCGCCCTCTCAGCATCCGCCTCAAACATTCGACACACTCTTCTCGAACAAAGAGGTCAACTTCGCTGTTCCAGTGGTATCCTCCCTTGACCATAGGCACGGCCAACACTGTCAGCCTCAACATCCCTCCCTCTGCATAGGGTGCCCTTCTCTTCGCCAGTCATTCCCGGCCCAAACCAGCCGGGCTTATGTTTCCCATACTCTGACAATTTCCCTCCACTGCTTTCGAGAAAGGTTGCCACCGCTCCTGGTAACGCAGTGCGGTTCCCCAAATAAGCACCACCTCCAGCCGCAATGCGCTGAGACAGCAGCGGGCGGCCTGAATTTCTTCCCAACGCGTTTCCGAATCAGCCAAATTACAGAGCCGTCGAGAGAATGGTCTGTGTGAATACCGCCTTGCTGGTGGCCGTCGCGGGCCTCGTGACTGCCCAATATGATGGGTGGGATCTTGAGAAAGGCCAAGTGAGCTCGTCCATGTGTTATTGGTACGCCCCAAGAGGTTTGCAATACCGAATCGTCCCGAGTTGGCAACATCTGACCAGATTGAAGCTGCCGTCATTCGAGATACGCTATGGCTAGATGGTGGGAGTCTATACTGGACTCCGACATACGGGGACGGGTCGACCGGATATCCAACGACCCTAGGTGAGTCCATTTTGGCATCACTTGCGATCAAATTCTAATAGCTTCAGATAACCCTCTGGGTCTCATGTACTCACTCAACTTCAGCAAGTCTTTTGATAAAACAACAAACATCACTAAGCTCATCGAAACCCATCCAAAGGCCCCTTCGGGTAGTGGTAACGCCAACAGCTTCGCCCCAAATACTATCGATGGTGCCTTGCTTTACAATGATGCCGAGTTCTTTTTGTATGGAGGTGTCTTTGCCAAACCGACGGACGCTTACGACCCTCCGCCCGGCAACAAGGCACTAGTATGGCGCCTCTACGAGTACGGCGCAAAGAAGGCCGCCTTCAACAATGGAAGTGAACTGAGAACCTTGGACAACGGCGTGACTCGGTATGTTGCCCATGGAGGGGCTGCCAGTGCTCCCTCGGAGAACAAGGCCTGGTATGTTGGCGGAATGCGGTCGCCTCTCTGGGGCGACATGTATCAGAGCACTACGAACCGTTCTCTGAACGCTGTCAACGCCTCCAATACCCTCATCACTCTCGACATGTCCACCCAAATGTTCGAGGAATTCTCCAACAAGACTTTACTGCCAAGCAGTATCAAGGCCAGGGCAAACCCAGAGGTCGTCTGGGTTCCTATTGGGGCTGAGGGTATTCTCGTCGTGCTAGGCGGAGTGACCTACCCCGAATATGTCAATTCCAGTCATAAATCCGACGACGCTGTCAAGAGCGTAAGTCCTCCAGTTGCAGTTCCTACTTTATCCATCTAACATCGTTCATAGGCAAGCGAAAGCCCTGCTTTCATGGAGACCATCGACATTTACGACGTAGCCGGCGATAAGTGGTATCAGCAGAAGGTTGACGGGACCAAACCACCTGCCCTCACTCGAGGCTGCGCTGTACTTGCGCCAGCTCAGGATTACTCCAGCTTCAACATCTACTATTACGGCGGCTACGATGGAATTCACCCCAAAGAAGACTTTAGCGACGACGTCTGGGTTCTCTCGATTCCTTCATTCCAGTGGACAAAGGTGTACGAAGGAACAGCTCTCCACGCCCGTGCTGGTCATCAGTGTGTAATGCCTTACCCCGATCAGATGATGGTCGTCGGCGGCTATGCGGCGATGGCCGGAAGCGGAGCTCCACCATGCCTTGAAGGAGGCATCATGCAGGTCTTCAATCTCTCCAGTGCAGAGTGGCTTGATGGATACAGCCCAACGCAATGGTCGAACTACACAATCCCCACCGCCGTCCGAAGCAAGATTGGAGGCGATGAAAAGGGTTCGGCAACGAAGACGACTCCTGAGCCGTCCGGCTGGTCTGACCAAGGACTGGCATCCATCTTTGCGACGCCGTATGTCACCTCGAAGATTAATACATGGTATCCGTACACAGAAGCTAAAGACCCCGGACGGCCAACTGTCACAGGTGGCGGAGACAACAACGGCGGCGGCGGTGGTGGAACCCCGAAATGGGTTGCCCCTGTTCTCGGCGTCGTTCTCGGCCTTGTCTTCATCACTGCCATCCTCGTCGGCTTCTGCCTGTGGCGTCGTCGCAGAATACTCAGAAGAGGTAATGGAACGGCAACGCACACGGACGACAATGGATCTAGAATCATCTCCTGGATCAGAGGCCAGCCCAGCGAACCAGCCAAGGCGCCTACCGTCACGACTGAGGAAGCCTCTTCCCAAGATATGGCTGAGGTCCGCACGCCGCCCCCTGCCCCTGCAGCATCGCCTGTACCCCAACAGGTGCATCACGAGATGGCCGACAACCAGATTGCAGAGCTACCAGGTAAGACTATGTTGATGATCTATTTGACCAAGCACTAACAAAGAACAGACACCTCACGGCCGCCAGAATTACATGGCACAGGTCTCACCCCCATCGAGATCATCAACAAGCACACGCACTTTGGCACCGGTGGCACATCCAACCCCGCAACAACACATCAGTCATCCTACTACGCCTCCGTCTCCTCCAACGAGAACGCATCATCGCTCTCCCGCTCCTCGGGCGTCCTCGGATACCAGACCCGCGCCCAATCGCCCGACCCAGGTCCGCCGTCGCCGCCCATCAGCAACGCTGCGGCCGCTACCTCTACCGGACGAGTCGGCTCCGACGTCTCCGGTCTCAGCGACCAGGAGGCGCGGCATTTGCGGCACATTAGCGAGGCGACTGTCAGCTCTGCCTCATCGGGCGGCGAGCAAGATGGCCCGGCTGCTCGGGAGCAGCCACGTAGCATCCCGGAGACGGTGCCGGAGACGCCGACGCCGGGACACCCGAGTCCTCTGAGCCCGCCAACTGGAGCATCAGATGGTGATGATTACATTAGTGCGAGGATGTTGCCGGTTAGTCCGGCTGGTACTGCTACCATGAGGAGGAGCATGTTTCACGAGAGTGAGGATGATCTTGGGTCCAGGAAGTAAACTTTCTCCACGGTCAAGGCACTGCTTTCGGTTGGGTTATGTATCTCTTAATATTGAATGAATATAATGTTTCCATCTACTCTGTTGAGATAACGGGACTACTTCTGTGCGAGCACCGGCGGGTAAGTACACGACCCACAACATAGTCGACAAGACTGTGCAAGCTATACTCCGCCGCAAGTATGACAAGGGTCAGAACGGAAACACTGAAACTCTCATCCAAGGAACAGATAATCTTAGCTACTTTATCAGACGATCTTGCAGTATTGGATATTTTCCATATGATGTAAGTCAGATCAAAGACAAAGAGCAGAAAACGTTTCTCACGAGGTGGGTCAGGCCTCAGAATGTTGTCACGAGTACCTAGAACACCTGCAGTCGGAAGATCACGCCCGATCTCAGTGAGTCACGTTCCAAAGCTTTCTGCAAGTGTGCGTGTGACGTGCCTCTGCTAGACAAGAGCCGAATAGCTCCGCATATGCCCGGCCAAAGAGCCAGCCTCGCGATGAAGAAGGTGTGAGCCGCAACCTGATCCACTGACGAGCTCTCTCCTCTTTAACCATGGCAACAATTGGCCTCGAGCTTGCCGTCGAATTTCTGTAGCAATGCGTATGTGCCACGGCCCATTTGGACCACTCTCTAGTCTCGAGGCTCGGGATGAAGCTGAACATCAACAACATTCCAGAAAGAGCAGTTTCAAGACAAGCTCTCGCGCGATCATACAAGTAAACCAATATTCTTAATCCTTTCCAATGTAAGGTGGTCGTTCCAAGGCTGAGTGTCTTCTTCCCAGAGGCTCATTGCGGCATTTGTCTAAAACTATGAGCCAAAAAGGCCCGGAGCCACATCGAGATAAGTGCTGAAGGTTGATACATCGCCCAAAAAGCAAAAAGAACTCCTCGACGGGGAATTGAACCCCGGTCCCCTGCGAATCGTTGAATTTTCAATGACAAGCAGATATCCTCACCACTAGACTATCGGGGATGGGTGGATGTGATCATCCAGTGACAGTTGCTGGGTTGGTGACGACGGACACAATTTGCCTGATATAGGTCTTGCCGGGACCCATACTTATACTCCACATGGAGTATCCTTCTAGTTACCATGGTTAACCTACTTCGAGTAGACTGTCTTATGTCCAAAAGTCTGCTATGCACAATGGGCAATGAAAACCAGTTGACGTGACATGAAGTATCGGGCGTTTGGACTTTCGAACGGGCATCGGACGTTCAGGGTGCGCCTATGCTTCTCTCCGATAATTAGCTAGGTCATTTGATAATGCTAAACTTCTAAAGGTCTTACAGCAAGCGAGCTCATACCTCTGCCAAATGAGAGCAGAACCGAAAGAGAGCCCCCTGAAGAGTCTTGCCAGTTTCATTTATGTGGGGATGCTTGAAGTTGTCGAACTTCGACTCAAAGAGATCTCAAAGCTCAAGATTAGACCCCTTGGGAAGAACCTACTGCACATCTACTATTTGCGAATGATAAACCAACGTAAAGAACATGTCCAAAGAAAAAGACCAGCAAAATTGAAAATGAAACATAGTCGAATAGAGTTAACATGTCGAGCCACGACCAGAGCCACCAAACGCCAGACGTGACCAAGTAAATGAAGAAAATCAAGATGATAAAGCAAGCAGCGTAAATCCATCTCCTTAGTTCAGATCTTCTGATCCTAGGCTCCAATTCGAAGCCCATCAGGTAGATGAGATGAACTAGAAGAGGCTGATATAACAAATACCATGCACCAAGCCTGGAAGATGCCATGACTACCCCGCCGGTCTTAGGGCTGTAAAAGAAGTACAAGAGTAAGTGAGCCACAAACACAATGTTGAAGATAATAATGGTCAAGGAAGAGATTCGTGTAGAAGCCAACTCCATGCGCGACTTTGGTTGCAGACTCCGCGCCAATTCTTTGACTTGCTCAGTTTTCAGAGATCCAGATCTAGTCATGGTGTCTTCAGGCAACCCAATGGAGACCCGTCGTGACCCTCCTGGTGAGGATGGTAGAAATGTTGTGGCAGCATCTTGATGCAGTGAAGACGGCTCTTGTGAGCCTATGTGATCCAAGACCGATACCAATCGTGTTAGTGAATTCCAGGCCTGAATAGAATGAACATCGAAAACTTCAAAGACTTCAAAGACCTACCAATACTGCAGAATGCTTCCACAATGAATATGATCGGGCTTGCGAACAGAATTACGGCTGTCACTTGCCCAAATCCCCAAGCGTTCTGGATGCTCGTCGCATCGCCATCCTGTATAGGTTCTATAGCCAAGATCGCCTCTTCACCCGCAACTGTCCGGAAATAAATCAGATGGGTAAGCCCCCAAGAAGCTGTAAAGGTGAGCCAAAATAGCTACAAGAGTCAGTTGCTGCAGCTACAAGATTGAAGGAGAGATTAGGGCGACCACACGAACCTCACCGAAGATTGAGTTGAAGAATTCCAAATACGTTCGGCCACACAGCCAGCATGCACTCAACGGCTTTGCAACAAATGTCATGTGTACCCATGGTCCGGTACATATTTGAGATGGCTTTCTGTCTAGCTTGACGATATTGATAACTTTTGTTCGGTACTTGTCCCGGAATCTCTGGAATCGGTCAGATGTGCAGCGGCCCATTTTCAAAACCCGGAATGCGAAACCTAGAGCCATCATCAAAACCGAGATTGATGTTGATAATGCTATTTCAGGAAGATTATCAACGTAGTTCTCACTTCTATGACTCAAGACACAGATAGCTGGGGTGTGACCTTGTTCCAGGTCTGCTCTGATGGGAACTCCAATGATCATCACAGCTATTAGCATGACCAGAACCACAGTCATTAGAGCGAGTCTCCAGATACATTGATTTTTGCGATTGATGTAGTAATTTCGAAGATATGTGAGGGCTCCTAGATGTGTGACTGCTGAGAACCACCTACAAGAGCCAGTCAGCATTCTGCTCGAGCCTTAGACCACGAGTATAATAATTACTCACGCCGTGTAGGTGAGAATTAGCCACTGGTAGCCTGACAAGGTTCCGAAAAGTCCATTGATTCCGCTTATTAATATCGCAAGACCAGTGATGATTTGGATATCACTCATTGCTAGGACGGACTGATTCCGTGATCAGTATCACACAACAGGTTCAGACATTGTGCTTTCATCACGAATGGGAGACTCTTACTTTGTCAAAAGCGTCTCTTAAGGTTTTAGCACGTCTGGCGTCATCTAGCCATGTAGGCTTGAACCCAAAATGCGTCATATGTTCCCTGAACCATCCCAAGAAGGCGACATCAATGGCGTTAGGTCGGCTCGTCTTTGTATTTGTTTGTTGTAGAGTGCGGAACGGATCCAATGTCGGATCGTATGCGAAAATATAATGAACGGTAAGAAGCAGGATGATGAGTCCACCTGTCCCAACAAAACCAACGATCACCTGGTGGTGTTAGCCTTCATATCTCAGCACCAAAGTTGTATCGCGGCTCTCAGTCCAATTCCACTGACATCAGGGTTTGCAGTTATCTCAGTAGAACAGTTCCACGTCGACCGCGACAGTAAGCCGGTCGGTTTCTGTAGACTCATGTCTACTGAAGCATAAGTTGAATCAAGAACAGAGCCAGAGATCCCTGAGATCCTGATGGGGTGCCTCGGTAGGAGAATCGATCGATACTACAGACAATACTTGGACATAAAACGAGTGAAAACTCCTGAATTAAATAGCAAATGAAGAGAGCCAAGCATCTAGCCTTGTCCTAAAATACCGAGCATTTATCTGAACACGTTTCGCGCCAGCCTACGCGTCCCTGTCTTACCTGCGTGGCTCTCAAGTGGCACCAGTCAGATCGGCTTAAGACATACATCCTTACATGCCTTTGAGTGCGAGAGCCAAGTCGTTTCACCAAATGTCGTGTAAGCATGAGAAAATAGGTGCGTAGCGTCATCACGCCATGCATTAGCGCTGACTTTAAGGGAAGAGAAAAGCCTGAATGCATACTAAATTTACTGAAGGAGGGAAGAGACTGTGACCATATCCTACGGGGGCTATAGAGATGTTCCTAGACATATCTTGTAACGAGTTTTCTTATTTGTGAGGCAAAAAGTGGAAAGACTATATGTTCTAAAGTAAGAACTATTAGGTATACCTTTACAAGTCCACCTCGCCTAGAATAACTAAATGCCACTCTTCAAGACGGCCAAAAGTTTTCATCACCTATCTCTGAGATCTGTGAACTAGTCAAATTAAGCGTCACTAATAGTATACACATAATGAGCTCCTGCTTCATATTATATCTATTATTACTACTATCAATACTCCATACTATCGTAAGCTACTTAAGGCTTACTCACTAGAGAACATACTCTCCAAGAGACCCAAAAGGAGTAGCAATAGAAAAAGCAAAAGCGATAATAGGAGCATTAGTAGAGTGGATAGAAGAGGCAGTAGTAATGGCACTGGTAGAGGTAGCGGTAGGGGTAGAATAGGAACTTGGGAGGCGTTGTGAAGTAGGATATCTTGCCGCCCGCTATTCTACAACTCAGCCTTAGACACTTAGAGCAAGCATCTTGGTGCATGGCAATTTGTGGCGTGCCCTGCATGCTTACAGTCAGAATCAAGATCCTGTGGTTTACTGGTACAACTGGGTATCGTTCAATCTCAACTCTTTGTTTTTCGCCTTCGTTAAATAGGTACATGTCAACAACACCACTGAGCTCATCCGGGCTTAGTCCGCAGATTACGAGCCGAGTTCGGTTCGAATTAAGATGTATTCAGAGCTCAGTTTCCATCCTCTACAGAAAGCACTAGCGAATTTGCATCGAGAAAGCGCAGAGGCAGGTTCCTAGTCTCTACGTTAACGCCATTCTGGTCGTTACCCTCCGACGAGACCTCATAATCACGGCTATATACTGCCCCATCAGACTGTGTTGAATTGATATAGTCATCGAGGGCTGCCTCCTCTCTCTCGAAAGCCCCAAGCAAATCACGACTCCATATGTCACCCCACGATGGAGAACACCAGTCCACTTGTATCGCGTCATCAGTTTTTGTCGAGCATATCGACGATTCACCAAAGAAGGCGCTATGCCTCAATATGACCAGGAGATGCTCCGACTTGTGAAGTGTGTTCAACATCCAAAGATGGACCCTGTCTCTACCCGACGTACTAGCTCCCAGCTTCGTCAACAGGCGGAAAGTTTTCGATACAGGGTCAAGCATAGACCACTCAGTAGATGTGTCTGGGCACGCCCGTTCAAATTCGACGATGCAGTGCTTTCCTCGGTGGCATCTGCCACGATGCTGAAATGCGTTCTTCAAATTAGAGTACCTCGTCCCGCTTTGGCACTCTGTGCAAGACTTGTATGAGTCGACTGAAGCCCTTTCTCTAGAGTCAAAGGACAGAAACCAGCTACCAAGGTGCACTGGGCGCTTTCCGCCATCTTTTCCCTCGGATGGGGCAATGTTTCGGAAAAAGAATCTTGGTTTCGGTAGCCATCTACTCCGGAATGTTCTGTCAAAGCTGACAGACATTTCTTCCGCTAGGTTGGCTGCCTTGTACAGAGTTGCAGCAAGCTCGAGGGAAGACCCTGGAGAATAAGCAGCATTTGAGAGCGTCTCCAGGTTTTGCCGCATGTCATGGAAAGTATTAAGTCCATGCGAGGTCGACCTTTGCAGCCCGACAAAGCCGGTTATCAAAGACTGCAGCTGAGTTTCGAGTATGAGGGGTGCCGTGGACGTCTCTAGTTGTTGTGGTTCACCATAAAGGGACTTTATCCTCTCGTCCTGAACCGTCGATGTTGACTGGAGGAATCTTTGCTCAAAATGCGCGATGTTGTTGGAGAATGCCTCTGGGTTGGCTGCATGATGTTTCTCCAAGTGAGAACCGAAGCTTATGCCGAACCTATAGCATACTCCTTGATCGCACCCTGCGAAATTATGGGAATCGACGACGTGTTTCGATCGTTCGAATGACTCGGTATTTGCAAAGACTTGGTCACAAAAGGCACATCTCATTTGGTCCAAATGCTGGTCCTCCAGGGTTTCGATGAAGTAATCGTCAATGCCTATTGCTTGGGCACATGTCCAGCCCATCGGACTGCCGATGAAGTTGGGCTGCAGATGCTCATTGCTAGAAACTGTTTCAAGGCCTGAATATCGCCGTTTTCTAGTCCCCTCGGAGGTCAAAAATAAGGACGGTCTCCGCCGGAGATTGTTCGACCCACGCCGTGGGACTTGCGATAAAGGTGGGGTGACGAGCTGTTGAAGAGATTCGGCCATGCTTGATACACTGTCGCTCAGTCTAGAGAGTTGACTCCGAGTTTCGTGGTGTTCCAATGTGAATTGTTCCTTGGTAGCTTGAGAAGCGGACAATATCATATCTCGAAGATCTTGTTGTCTTCTACTTGATTCTTCCGTGAAAAGCTGATGGCGATCTATTCTCTGGTGTTCCATCTGGATATGGGTATCCGTGAGCTTCCTTAAATCTTCATGGACTGTAGTAATTCTTTCTAATCCTGAGAGAGACATCCATCTGACAGAGGATAGCTTAGCTTCAGAATCTCATTTGCGTACGGCAGATCTAGCTCACCCATTCATAGTACTCATGTTAAGAACAATCTGCGACCGATGACGCGCCAACTTGGACTCCATCTCAGAAATCTCCCGGCTTCTCTTGCTTGATATTTCCTCAATTAATTTTTGGCGCTTTGAGGATGGTCCATCTCCAGGTCGGTAAGATTCGGTCCAGGTGTCCAAATCCTGAACGCAATCCTCGAGACGGGAAGAGAAAGTGGCAAAGTGCTGGACCCAAAGGACTCGGCTTTCATCCAGCGCCTTTTCGTCCAACGTGTTGAGCAGAGACTTGAAGTCAATTATTGTCTGCGAGAGAAGTTGAGCTTCCAGAGTCAGCCGTTGCGCCCGTGCATCTGCTTCCTTAAAGTCCTGAATGAAGGCATTGAGCTTGACAAGTCCATTGATGACATGGCCTGCGACGGACAACAGGCCTGCGACACTGGCGGCTGCGGAAACCGCCTCCATATTGCAAAATTCAGTAATTCTTTTCCACAATTCAGGCAGAGGAGATTCAGGCAGAGGCCATGAGACTGAGGGACGGCGGGGTTATGAATGGTGGGCCATGGCTGCGGTCAGCTAGATGGTCACCACTGCCACGCACCATGCATGTGGCGACTGCAGCATATCTTCTGCGCTACAGTGCTGATCGTCACAATGAGATAGCATTCGCTCCTTTCCGTGTAATATGGGTGGCTTAATATGACCGCAGCTTGCATTGATCCTAGGCAATTAACTCAGCCCCCAGTCGTCGCCTCGTAGGTTGCCTTACGAGTTGCGAACGACTTTGGTGCCGTGTTTTCTTCTTTCACATGCTCCGCTGGTATTTCTCCTGAGTGCTGGCTATTCGAGCTCGAATACTCGAATGCTCGCAGTGACGGGTAGCACCGATCTAAGTATGCACTGTCCACGACAGGAGCACGGAAATAAGGGAAGATGTGGAGGGAATCGGCATGGGGGCGGTTGTTCCTCAACGCAGAATCAAAGAAGTCTCTCGATCTGAATGCATCATTTTTTTTCTTGAACTATTGTGAAGAGAGACTATTGTTAGTTTAGAAACAAAGATGGATTCGAGCCTAGATTAGCACAAAGCGCTTCTCAATGATTCTCAAGCTGCCTCGGCAACAACAAGGGACTGCAATAAAATCGCTGGCAAGGGAGACTTGCGAATGGCTCTCTTCTTTGTAGTCGACGAGAGGGGGGATAGCAGATAATGCTAAACCGCGGAAGACAGAAGACAAGAATAAATGCAAAGACACATCCACATCAATGAAACAGAAAGTGTGCAATTTTTGGTAGAAGCTCTCGCGATTTGTCTGGAAACAAGTCTCTAGAAGACGTACCTCATCTCCAGTACAGACAACACTCTCTTCGGATCTTCACGGGTTGACTTATATCAAGTGAACTCACTTGGGATCAAAGCTGTTCAAAACTTCTTGAGAAACTTCCTTCACTAGAGGCAATGCCACCAAGGTCGAACAATGGCTCTTCAAGCCGACAACCACCGCCGCAGCAGCAACAGCAGCAGCAGCCACATAACTCCTCTGACCAAGATATAGACCTAGGTCCCTTGAGGCAATACAACCACCAGCATTCACATGACCATGATTTCGGGCCCGGATGGGAGTATCGCGTCCCACAGATCCCGGCTTTGCCAAACAACGGCTTCAATGTTCCTGCCCAGGCGGGGCCATCGAATGCGATGCGTCCCCAGATGGGCCAACAGCAAGCTCAATTACCGGCGTCGAACTTGATGCAGAACCAGAACTTCAACCCGCCGCCAGCGCAGTACATCGAGCCCAACAACCAGCAGTTCGACAACCAGCAGAACAGTAACCAGCAAAACAACAACCAACAGCTCCGCTGGGCTGACCCATACCAACCCCAAGCCCGGGCCCAGCCCCGTCCCGCGGTCCCATCCCAACCAGCAAAGCGCGGACGGCCCCGCAAACACCTTGACGAGGAAGACCAAGACGAAGGACAAAGACCATCAAAAAGACCCAAACTCCAGCAAACCCCGTGGCAACCGCCCCTCATGCGCATAACGCACTCCCCCCACGTCGGCCAGCACAACCCCATCGATAACACGTGCGACCACTGCCGCGCCCGCCCCGACGAGAACCAGGGCTGCGACGTCGACCTCGCCAACCAGATCGAGTGCCACCGCTGCACCCGCCATCGCGCCCTCGTCGACCCGAACCACATCTGTAAAGTCCTCGGCAGGGAACACTGGCAGAAGCGCTTCGCCAACTCCCGCCCCTCGTACCCGATCACCGAGACGAGCTCGAGCGTCTGCGCGCGGTGCAAGACGCACCAGGGAAGCGGGCGCGTCGCGCTGTGCGACATTGACGACCGGGTCAAGATTGGGTGTACGCCGTGCAAGAACGATCGGGCGCTGTGCTGGGTGTACGACGAGCAGAAGGTGAGCGGCGAGAAGCCGGACGTGGACCAGCCGGCAGAGGTCATGTGGAACCGGCCGATACCCGGAGACGGTACCGTGCCCGCGGGTCGGCGGCCTTGGTGGCGGCAGATGTGTCAGGGTTGTCAGCCCGGCAAGACCAAGCCGTGTTCCTGGATCCGGGATTTCCGGCTGAGGGAGTACAAGTGCACGTCGTGCGTCGAGAAGAACATACCCTGCGTGGATCCATGGACGGCGGCCACGTACGATACGCCGTACACGTGGGCCCCCGGGGACGGAGACAAGATTGTCTACGACAAGGGGACCAAGCTCCGGGAGGGTAGGCACCGCTGTACCAACTGCGTGACGAACCAGGCCATGTGCCGGTCTCTCACCGACGAGGAAGACTTTGCGTGCGTCCGGTGCACCTCGTGGGGCCTGGTGTGCCAGATGCCCGGGAACGGGAGCCGGCACCCGTCGCGGCAGCTGCCTTGGATCGATAGGAAGAGGATCGGGTGGTCTGGGTGGACGAAGTGCACGGCCAACGGCAAGGGGATGAAGTTCCGTGGGTGCCTGCGGTGCCGAGAGAACGGGTATAAATGCGATCGGAAGCGGCCCTGTGATACGTGCGTCAATGATAGGGCAGAGGCGGACTGCGATTCGTGGGTGATGAACAGGGAGTTGGTTAGACGCAAGGGAACGGATGGCGTGGAGCAGCCCGAGTATTACATGGCTCTCGGGTACGGTCCCAAGGGTATTAACGATGATCGGATGTTGTGTTTGGAAGCAAATCTCCTCGGGCCAGATAGACCGAGGTACGCGGTCATGACGGATCCTGCTGTTGCTGCGGCTGCTGTTGCGGCTGCCGCCGCCGCTGTCGGTGCTCCGGCCGGTGCTCCAGGTCCTGCTCCTGTAACAGTTGGAAATTCTCCCATGGCGGCGCAGCAGGACCCACGTCAGTTCGGAGGTGTTGTCGGCAATGGTCCCGGCGGCGGCGGCGGCATGGCCCCACTGCCACGGCCTATGGCGGCAACTGGACAGCCAGGTTTCGCCGCACTGCCGGATCCGATGGCGTACCACGACCCGATCTACCCCTACGGCAACCAGGACTACATCCGTAACCAACAAAACAACATGATGTACGGCGACAACAACACCGCTGCCATGGCGAATCAGACGGGCGGAGGATTCTCCGACTGGGTGAGCGGCTACAACGCAAACATCAACCAAGCCGGCCCGAGCCAAAACGTCCAACCGCCTCCGTTCCAAGGTCATGCCCATAACCAGGATGATATCCAGTACATGATGGGCAATGGGTATGACATCAACCCCGAGAACCTGGTCCAAATGGCAGAGGCACAGCCAGTCCTCATACACCCTCAGCTCGAAGTCGACTCCGAACGCGAACAATCCGAACTCACCCGCGGCATCTGCGACTTCATGGCTCAACTAGCCCGAGACGGCCGCTTCGTGCCCGTCGAGCTCCGTAACTTCAGCCCCCCAGAAGTAGCCGAAACCCCTGCCGCCGCCCGCATCGGCCCTCCCGCCCTAGCCATCCTCGAACTCACAGACCAAGACGCGGCCGAAACGCCCCGCGAACCACCAGGACCACCGACATGGAACCCGGCCCCCTATGTCCCCCAACTCCGCGCCGCCCTCGCACGATGGAAACGCCCAGCCAACGACGTCTTCCACGACATCTCCGACGCCTCCCTCCTAAACGGCAGCCAACCAGACAACCAACCCTGCGAGGAAGTCAAGCCCAGCGCACCGGGTAACGTCTGCAACGCCCTCGTCCCCGACGGCGCCCACTGCGAGAACCTAGAACACGCCGCCGCGCAGCCCAAACCCCACGTCGTCTGCGAGGGCTGCGACCTGGCCTCCAGGAAACACCTCTTCGAGGGCCAGCAACCTCTCACGCGCACGGAATTCCTCAACATGCGCAACTACGCCTGCGGCGGCTGCTCCCACACGCGACAGGCCGACGTGCGGTTCGGCGGCAGGATGCCCAACGGCCAGCTCGCGAACCCGCTGCACCCCGTGACGGGCTGTCTCTGCGCCAGCAAGCTGCTCGGTCGGCGGCTGTGCTCGCATCACCGGTACCAGCTCGCGCAGCGGCTCATGGTCCAGGTGTCCATGGTGCTCGAGTGGGCGATTACCAACTTTGGACCGGACATGTGCCTGTTTTGTAAGCAGGGCGGCGACCTCGCCGGGAGCGTCGCAGAGTCGGAAAACGGCATCATGAACGATTTATTGTACGTATGCCTCAATTGCGAGGGGATCGTCGGCGTGAACGGCCCGAAGGAGCTCGTTCCGGGTGTCGAGGAGTGGATTGGCGGGTGTCATCCGTTTTCCCTCTACTCGGAGCCGTGGATGCAGACGCCTGTGCAGGATATAGAATGGGACGCCTAATTAGGCGAATATCGCCTTGAATGTCTCACGGAAAGAAGAGGTTGGGTTAAGATAAAAAAGAAGGAGATCTGGTAAGCGGTATCCTTCTCTGATTTGGCTTTGGATTCGGATAGAACGCGGTTGGGTTGATACCACGGTAACGGTGGAGCATACATGGGCGCATTGCAGGTGTTTCGTTTGATTTGAAGAAAAAAGAAAGCGTTCGGATTCTGACATTTCCGCTCCGGGCCGTGTGACGTTAGCCGAGTAAAGGTAAAGGCACACCGTTGAGACTTGACGGATGGTTGCGAGGTTTCTGAGCGACTCGCATCTGCATGTCTAAGGTGAGGTGAGATGAGGTGGGGTGATGGGAGCCATGGGGTGAAAGGGTGATTCGGGCCATGTATTCTGTGGTGGACTGCAGTCTTGAGGGCAAGACTTGTTGAGAGATGTCATAAGCAAGCTGCATATGCTCCGGGTTTTATTTCTGGTGCCCTAACATAGTGACATATTAGCCATGAACTAGAATATTGGGAAGTTTCTTATTCCATTGGCATCGGACATTCGGAACTTAGAACACTTACTGACAATCTGACATAATCTCCTCTTGTGATCCATCAATCCAGATGCGAGATAATCAAATACTAGCTCACGTACTGTCACTCGGTTTCTGGAGCAAGCCGACTAGCCTGTTCCTAGATGACCTCATTTCATCGTCAGCCACAACATACTGAGGTATCACATGTCGTAAAACGTTGCAGTGGCATCTTGAACAACAACCATGTGCGCAGGAAAACGCTAGACCCGAGTGAACAAATCCTCACGCAGCTACAGCTCAACCGTTGAAAATCACATTGAGGGCAAGATATCACATCTCAGATGAACTGACGTAAAGGGAATCTGTATGACTTGGCGACTGACTCTGACCTCAGAAAGACCTTGCGGTGTCTCAGAAGAAAGAAGAAATTACAGTATGAAAAGAAAAAAAAAGGAGTACCGATATAAAGAAGAGACAGAGACAAGCCGATGTTTGGTCTCAAATAGCCCTCCCAGTGTGTGTAGTAAAGAATCTCGAGTCCACCCTCCACAAGGTCTTGCGGCCAACAGTCTCTGGCTGCCAGACCAGCCAGTCTGCAACCCTTTCTTCTCTGCCGCCGCACCACACGATGAGGAAACTGCAAGAAAGCCTTGTGAAAAGGACTCTCCTCTCTTGTCCCCTGCCACGTACAATCGTGTGCGATGACCATGTCCATGAAGTTGCCCTGAAAAGAACAAGTTCCAAAAAGTGCAGCAAGTCAGAACCCGACTCCCCGTCCGATGCAGTACAAACAAGATTTTGATCATTGGTCCCCCACGTCAACATGTCTTTCTCCAAACGACATTTGCTGGGCCTGCTTGGACCTGTTCAAAAGTCCAGACGGGGAAGAAACCGTGCGTTCAGCATCAACCAGCGGCATCCACTAGCCCAGTCAAGGCTCAAGGTATCTCACGACTCTCTAGCCGCTTGGTTCGCCATCCCCCCTCCCTCTTGCTCTCTCGCTCTCTCCATTGCGCGCGCTCTCTTTCTCCAGGTCGAAGTCGAAAAAGGACCGCTCACATTATTACGCACTTGGAGCAGCAGCCTGCCTCTTGCTCGCCGCCCTCAACATCCATGGGCTTCGGGGGACCGTTGATGCCAGAGGCGCCACCGCTGCCGGTAGAGTAGCCCTGCATCTCTCTGTTGTATCGACGGATTTCGCGGACAATATCATAGAAAGCCTTGTCGACGTTGATGCGAGACTTGGCTGATGTCTCGATGAACTTGCATCCGAATGACTTGGCAAGAGCCTCTCCCTCTGTAAAACAGGGTATGTCAGTCATGAATTCAATCGATCGAATCAACCATCAGACGAGAGGTATATATGTTCGACGCATTATCATGCAGTGATGCGGCGCAGCCTCGAAAAAAAATAACATACCTTGTCTTGTGACTTCTCTCTCGCCCTCCAAATCGCACTTGTTGCCGACGACGACCATGGGGAAGTAGTCCTTGTCCTTGACTCTCAGGATCTGCTGCTGGAATGTGGTGATTTCCTCAAAGCTCTGGCGGGAGGTGATGGAGTAGACGAGCAGGAATCCCTCGCCCGTTCTCATGTACTGCTCGCGCATGGCAGAGTACTCTTCCTGACCGGCGGTGTCGAGAACATCGAGCAGGGCAACTTCCTCGTCAATAACGCACTGCTTGCGGTAGGAATCTATAGTTGAGAAGAACCGGGTTAGTTGGGCGATTGATTTGCGGTCGCATCGACCATCAGTAGGCAATTGATTATTATCGAGGCGACGTACCTTCAATCGTTGGGTCATACTCGTCGACGAAATGACTCTGGATCAATTGGATGGTCAAGCAAGATTTACCAACACCACCGCCACCGACGACGACCAGCTTGTACTCTCTCAAGAACTGCGAAAGGATGACGGGTTAGCAATGTGTTGATGGAAGCGACGGAGATAAGGCAAGGATTGAAGAGTGGGAGGTCGCGCGACGACGCGAGGACGAGGACGAGAGCGAAGACGAAGGAGACGACGAACCTTGGACGCCATTGTGTTGTGATGATGTGTTGATTGATGGTTGGAAACTCGACGGTTCTTGTTCGCGCGCGATGTTGATGGCTTAAAGCAACTGCTGTTGAGGTGAAGATACAGGCGAGATCCGGGAAACAGTCAGGAGCAGCCGGGCGATTGGCGTCTCGACGGATTCGGAAAGGGCTCAGCGAGGTTGGAGTTGGTGAGGTGCGTGAGCGTGAAGGCGGAATTGAAAGGAGTGGTTTGGCAGCGAGCGAAACGACGGGTGGGAATCTGGATCTGGTACGGCACAGGCCGGATTGCGAAGTTTAAAGGTGAAACGACGAGGTCGATGGCAGAAATCCGGGACTGACAGCAGACAGTCTTTCGAGAAGGAGAATGAGAGAATGGGCACAAATGGGGTGGTGTTTCGTTATTGCTAAGGGGGGGCTTTTTGGCAAAATGTGGAGATGGGGGAACGGGTCGGTCCAGTAGTAGGGGAAGGAGGACCTGCACTTTGCCTCTGCTCCTGCCTCCTGGCGCTGCTGCTGGTGCTCTGTGTGTGCTGGGGCAGGTGCGGGTGCGTGTGTGCTCTTGCTCTGCTCTGCTCCTGTTCTGCTCTCTGCTCTGTTCTCCTGCTAAGGTAGGTTACTGAGGTAGACATGAGGAAGAAGGGAAGGGGTACGAAGCTGAGGTACCGATTAAGCATACCGGGGTACCTGCTCTTGCAGCTGTTGCGCAGCGGAAATCGCAGTACACCCACTCACTCCACACGTTGTATCCTTCCTTACATCGGCCTTCCCTGCCGTCCCTGCCTTCCAGTGTCCACTCCCTCCCAGCTCCCCTTCGCTCTTTCCCGCGCCTTGCTTTTTTTTTTTTCCCCTCTTCCCTCCTGGGTTCCTTCCTCACTCAACTCCATTCTCCCATTGCCAGACGAGCAGGGCAGGGAAGGTGCTGTATCCGTTCATCCACCTTCGTCCAGAAACGGTACGTAACTTTAGGGCAGACAGTAAAGTGCCTCTTTCATCACACTGGGGGAAGGGGGTGCGTGTCACACACTCGCTCTTCATCTCTCAGTTTCTTTCACACGTTGGGACGGAATTAGAGGTGACGGGAGAAGTGAGAGGTGAGTGAGAGAACGAGGTGAAGCCTGGGATGGCGTGGATAGGGTGTGCTTGTAAAGGTTCCATTCCATCCATCTCAGTTCTGTGCAGTGAGCACGTCTGGTTCCGTCTGCTTTGGTCACCTCAAGGCTCACAGCAAGGTACTAGACACTAGGACTGCTTGCTCATCTTGCCCTCCGCCGGCCTTGTCTCGTCTGCCGTGCCCGGCCAAGTCGACACGGGCGTGCCACCAGGTCTAGCCAGGCCCTTTTCGCCGTCCGTCACGCACTTGTGTTCTTCGTCTCTTAGACTCTTACCAAGTGTACCCCCCCTTCTCATGAGACGAGGTACCCAATGCGCGCGGCTTCTGTCACACCAGGCGCTTTTTCGATGAGATCGCGCGGTCGACAATGTCAGGTACCTAAGGTAAGCCAAGACATCTCGACATGTTGTGTCTGGTTCGTCACCTCTCTATTTCGTAGTGGACAGGAGCGGCTGGCTGGCACCGGTTTGGCGTTTAGCGCTGGGCCTATGATTTGACGACGACCTAGGAGACTTGGATCGCAGAAGGCCCAGGCACACACCCTCACCAACGTCACTCACACTGCCTCCGTCCATCCATGCCTTGTGCAAACTTTGGGGTACGCGACGTGCGCTACGGATACATGAGGCACATGTCGAGCCAGGTGAAAGCAAATCGATAACGACGTCCGTGGTGGAAGCGCTATTTGCGAGCAAGGCGCCTCCCATCACCAATCACTTGAATGATTCTATGGAGCCCGTCTAGAAGGAAAGGAGGAGATTGATGCAAAAGATTAACAAGAGCCTAGGGTCGCAATGAGAATTGATATTGGTACTAGTCAATACATGCCTCCATTGGTCGCACTGCGCTGTGTACGGACACATAGCGGCAAAGGTGAACAATCCCATCGAACAAAGGGAATCGACAGAAAATTAGACGATACCGAGGGCTCGAGTGAAGGTGAGATTTGACCGGGGATGGGAAAGAGGGACTTGCAAGTGGGAGTTTATCGCGGCGACCTTCTGGTGCAGTAGCGTCGGATGCAGCAGGGGGGTCCCTTGGAACCATAAAAAAGAGGCCCGGTGCAGACGCCTGCAGATGCCCACCAAGCAGCGAAGCGGTCGAGGTGGGCACACTGGTGGAGAGGACCATTGATGAAGCGCAAGGGGGGAGGAGACGCGCAGAAACGATGGAACAAATTGATGAGTGGACAAAAGGGAAAGAAAAAAGAGGGGTGGCGTCGTGTGTGGTTCGTGCGAGCGAGAGTGGAACTGTGGGAAGCGAGTGGGAGCGAGATGGGGGATCTCACCTCAGGCACCAGGAGGAAACAGTACGTATCTATCTGACAGGGGAAA